TATCATATATAAATATATTTTTTCATTCTTATTTACCATACTGCCTGTGTTATATGACCCTACAACCATGACCACTTGGCTGGGTAATTTATCTTCCTTGTTTTTACATATGAAAATGATCCAAAACCGAAGCTTAAAGTCATACCTATTTTTATTGTTCCCTGGTTTGTGAGAAGCAAGTTTGACACTTTCACATCTCTGTGGACAATCTCTTTGCGATGAAGATATGCCAAGCCTTTAAAAACCTGCAAAGAAAAGTAGAATGGGAAACAAGTCAGAAGGACTAAGGAAAAATACGAATATATGGCAATATTATGCTCTCCATCATTACGCCCTAATAAACCTTTGCTGATGAATAAGTGAACATATTTTGTGTTTTTACAGAGAACTGAACATTTAACCCAATCATGATGGGAGAACCTAGTGTCATATTGATCAATGCATCACAGTGCATGCAGAGTCAGCTACCTGAAGAAAAATCAGAAGCTTTGGAAACATTATATTACCCTGCTCTCCATACTCATGGCTGTGGGTAATGATGTTAAATAGAGGATTTAAACCTAGTTTTGAGGGGTAAGTATTCAACTAATGCAGCTAGGGCTAAACAAGAACACAACTACTCGGCATGTACAATTCAGAGTATGCTCAAACATGCATGACATGAAGATATTATCCTAGTGTGAGGTCTACCATGATATGATAGGACTTCATTTCGGTATGAATGTAATAAGAAACGTAGCCTTCCACTTAGTTTTCATTATAAGACAAAATGGGAAGTTCTACCATTTTTGGGGTGCATTATTCAAATCATTGGATCCAGATGCTATAGGAATGGGATTCTGAGCATGGAAATAACGTCCTCCATGGAGCCAGCACTCTTCCAGTCATGGCTCATGGATGGTACATTCATTCCACACTCCTTTATCAATGGAAATAATGCAAAAACCCCTTCCTATATGCCAAATGGGTCTAATCACCCTCCAAGAGCTTTGTTCACTTGTGGCTAGTCATTCCTGTCATTGTGGTCCAGCAAAATGCTCCCGTTCACCTCGGTCCACAGCCAAATTTTTCCATCGTGGCTTGTTCACGTCACCTGCTCCTCAAGCCAAATTTTTTCATGACATGATAGGTAAGACAAGACAACCAAGATATATGACTGAAATCCTCAAATCAAATGCTGTAGCTCTGCAACAAGTGCCCCATACACAAATAATTACATATCAAACCCTTATAGACATTTCAAGTTTCCAATCTTACAGATAATAAATATGACAGGATTAACAAAACTGTGATCAATAATTTGCTTTACAAAGGGTGATTTACTAATAAACTTGAGAATTATAATAAAATAATACTAATAGAAATAACTTACCTGTATCATAATGCATTTTACTTGTGCTTCCATAAATGGTATTTGCATATTGTCAAGCAAGCTGGCCAGATCCTGTTCACAGTATTCCATCACAAGGAATATGCTGAAAAATATAATATAACATTTGGATCTTACAAAAAAATATGATGAGAGATGGATATGATGGATTGTGTTATTACTAACACTATTCTAAAAACTAATAGTTGTCTATTTGGAATGTTTCCCAAGATAGTATTAAATAACAATTCAGAAGCCAGAAAATTATCATCATCAGACAGGCTTTGTAATTAACTCCTTGACAACTTGTGGTGCCATATATGTGAAAAAAATAAAACAAATAATATATAATAAATAAACCAGTGGATATGCATACATGCACTCCCAGCATCAAAGGGTTAATATGTAAACATGGATTCATAACATGGGTGTACCTCTCTAAGCTCCTTCCAACAACAACCTCCTTTAAGCAAACAGTGTTTGGATGATTGCAAGACTGCAGAAGCATAATCTCTCTCAGTCCTGATATTGGCATTCCATCTTTCTCCTTCTCCATTCGCATCTTCTTTAATGCTACAATTTCATTTGTCTTGGTATCCCTTGCCCTATCTGAAATAAAGCCAACTCTTGATTAAACGACACATTAGTTTCCTCAGGTTTTGCACCACTATTACTAATTTCCCCCCTACATATTTGAGTCATCACAGTTTTTAAATTAGTAGAACTCTTCTGACATACTTACAGACTACTCCATATGTTCCTTCTCCTATACGATTAAGCTTCTCAAATTCCCCAACAAAACGGCATTTTCCAAACTGCAAAAAGATGTAACTTATATTAGGCACATACGAAATAAGAAAGTTTTAAAAAATACATTTTACATAATAACAACAATGTTGCTTTCAAATAACCTATGTGATTAACCAGTTGTCATTCCTCCTCTTAACAATAACTGTCAACATAGAGGAACTGCCTAATAGTAATGCCATGGCTTATGTGGCTACATTGCTACATCACAAATGCCAGTATACTGAAATAATACTACATATATTAGATAATGGTGGTATAGACTGATTTGGTAAAGTCTAGCAACTGCCCCTAGCAATGAGCACTTGGTGAAAACAAACCCTTGTTCATTCGAAAACTCACGGTGCTTTGCTTAAAGTCAATAAAATTTCTGAGAATCTAGTTTCTTTGTCTGAAAATGCCGAAGATCTGTGTTGCTGTTAGTTGTTCAAACCTCAACATGATGGGAAAGAAAGGATTAACCTTTCATTTATTCCCAGATTGCAAAAAGAAACTTGAAAAATGGAAGCACTGGGTACAAGCCATGAAACGCATGAACGCTGATGGGAGTCTTTGGGCGCCTGGTGGAAACCGTTTAAATCTGCTCAGAACACTTTATTACACGGTAATATTTTACACCTTTTCAAATTCTAGAGACAGATAATAACTTTCAAACTCTATCTATCTACACTATCTACCAAGACCAAATGAGGTCAACATTGCCGACATTAGGTTTTGGCAGCAGTCATACACTCCAAAAAGCACAACAGCAATTTTACATTTTTCTGTAATGAATTGATTTATCATAATTTTAATTTACAGGCAAACCATCCCCAGATCCAACCCACCCAGACTTTATCCTAAACACAGTCCTTTAGATGAAAAGAAAGCAGTTCGTACTGTTCAATTTTTTTTAAATCGGAAGAAAAGAAGCCTAGCTAAGGAGATGCCAAGCACTCAGAAGAAACCAAATTTTCCTGTTGCCTCTGTGTCTGAAAAGTCAACAGTCCAGCAGACGAAATAACTGAAGAGGGCCTGTCTCAAATTATTGAGGAAAACAAAAAATGTGCCTGTAGGCCTTTCTGTGACTTCATTCTCTCCTTTGTGTAAACATCTTGTAAATAGGAAGAAATTTGATCTTAGGAAATGGCACTGATTTCACTGAAAAATAACCTATATAGTTAAAAATCATAGATTAATGTAGCAAATTATGTCATCATAAAATCATTTTTATTACATGGTGTGTTGATCAAATAGTCTTAGATGTCGGGATATTCAATATTTCATACAATCGTCAATCCGAATTTCGGCAGGCAGATGGTATGAGCAATCTTGTAGCTACACAGTTTCTAGTTTTGACTGATAAAGCTTTTTCGCTTCGAATCGAATCATTCATACGCCATTTTCGCTCGCGCTAATAACGAGGTATTTGCGAGTGACAGGTTTGTTTTCACCAAGCGGAATGGCGACTCTGACTCGTGACGTCACGCCGAATCGGTCTATTATGTCTTAGTTTATGTGACTCCATCAAGAAATTAATAGTATATGAAAATATAATGATAAATAATGATGTTACATAACTGCCATTGCTTGTGACTTTGGTGCACAAAGGTTTACAGAAATCAGTTCAAGTAAAATCTCACAAGCTGCATCTTTCTTCTCTATCACTGGAGGCAATACTCAAGTAACAAAGTCATTTTGGTGCAAGGCTAAAGCGAGATGAAACAAAATGTAATGTGGCATATATATGGCTGATATAAATATAAAATGGTAATTTTCTATATTACCTCAGCCGCTCCGATATCGACGATTTTGGTATCGTTGGATTCCTCTCACTCTATACAATGCAAATATGTAAGTTTTATTGCGTGGAAACCCCCCGTTAGCGACAAACTTGGCCCCGATAGCAGGGGCGGCGATGTTGGAGCGGCAGACGTAATATAGAAAATTACCCTAATAATATAACCCACAGTGAAAATTACCATAGTTATTCACATTACTTTCCATTGCAGGTTTCCCTGGGAAACAAAATATCCCCCACGTATTCATGGCAGGAAAGAGCGCACACGAACTAGATGCATTGAGAAAGGCGCAAAACCTGTTGAGCCGACGAGGGCGGGCCACCGCCGCTCTTTTGTTCATGATATACCTTGTTCATCCTGATTATACTACAATCGTTTCTGTATACCTATGTCAAGGTTAGTATGCTGATTCAGTGGGAATGTCATGAGGTAACTGTAATACGTCCGCCGCTACGACATCGACGATCTTTGTGTAACGCTCTAGCCTGCTGTGAATACGTGGAGGTTTTGTTTCCTCGGTGGGGGTTGGGGGGTGCAGGGGGGACAGCCCCCTGCAATGGAAAGTTGTGTGAAAAACCATGGTTATTTTCACTGTGGGTTATATTATAAGTGTTATTTAATCCCGCATTTTCCCTTGAACCTTTCATGCCCTCTCTTGCCATCGTGGCCAAGTTTGTCGCTAACGGGGGGTTTCTGCGCAATAATAACTATATATTTGCAATGTGGACAGTGAGAAGAATCCAACGATACAAAAACTGTTGATATCAGAGCGGCGTAGGTAATATTAAAATTTGCCATATAAAATATCCTTCTCATTTGCAATTTCTGACAACTACTTAACAGGAAGTGTTCCTGAATGAAATCTTAAATAGCAAGGAGACACTTTTACCTAGAGCGATTTCGCAATTGCAACTTTTCCCAATAGTACCAACAAACCTACCAAGTGGTTCTCAGGGATTTTGATGGGCTTCCCTGTGAGAAAAGAAACCAGGCCAGGTTTCTTCGTGGACGACCCACCGCCCTTCTCTTCTCGCTCTGCCATG